AGCAGGGCCTGGCATGGCCATCTCATCTCCTTGGGGTGTCACGCTGTGCCTGCATCACACCCCGAGTGTCCAAGCCCATGGGACAGGGACTTTACTGCCTGTAGGGTCAGCGTGGCACTGTGCTGTGTTGGGGTCTCCACCGTCAGCCCCCACAGCCATAACACCACTCCCACCTGCACCCAGTTAGCACCACGGGGTCTGTGCCCCCACAACCAGCAGGTCCCCAGCAGCCTCACAGCACCCTGCACCTCCAGAGGTACCTGTTCCACCAGGAATGGCCAGAGGAAGGTGTCCAGATCCAGGTGGGTCTTGGGGCAGGGAAGCTCCTTCCTGGCCGCAGCAATCCTGCACTCCCAGGGCTTGTCTGCAGAGCTGAGTGCGTGTGGGGAGGGGAGAGGTGGTTGGTTCTGTTCCCAGTAACTGGGTGAGTCTGGCAAACAGCCCCTGGAGAGGTTCTTGTCTGCTCACATGCACATACACGCTCGAATGGAACAACAAAGGCAGGTCAGATCCCGCAGGGAGGGTGACAGGGCTGGATTCCTCCTCCAGTAACACCAGGGGCTCCTGCCAGGTGATGTCCTGTCCCACACACGGGTGGGCTGGGCACCCCCAGCCCAAGGGGACAAGGACTGACACGAGGTTTGCACTGTCCCCCAGTTGTGGGGCCACCAGCAACCTACCTGTGGCTGAGAGTCCCAGATTACACAATTGTAACCCACTTCTTGCATTATTTTTGCCTTAGTAATAGTTTTGCAACAGCTCATCCTTATCTCCAACCTAAGGGAACATGCAGCCACCGCCCTGGTGGTGCTGGTGCGGCCGGATGGGACCTTTCCCAAAGAGCAGGGTGGCAGAGGGTCCCCAAACAGCAGGACCCTGCCCTGCTGCTGCCTCCAGCACACCCCCAGGGGACGTGGGATGTGTCCCTAAGGGGGTTTCCTTCCCCTGGAGCACCAGTGGCTTCCAGGAGGCTAAGTCAGCCCCATCCCACCAAAGATGCTCCATGGGAACAGCCTCATTTCGTGCCTCTGCCAACACAGCCCAGGCAGGAATGTGCTTCCCCTCGCCCACAGTTCACCAGGTTTCTAGGGTGCCCTGAGGCTTTCCTGGCATCCTCCAGCACAGCCTGGGGCCAAGCACACTGTGGCATTTCCCAGGTGCTCCCTTGCCTTGGAGCCTCATGTGGCATCTCACCAGGGCTGCCCCTCCCATGGGGACAGGTCTGAAGAGCCTGTGGTGGTGCTTGGTGCCTGCAGAGGTTTCTTCCTGCTCTCCTGGCAGACAAGGAGTCTCTTGCCCAGTGGCTTTTTGGCTCCAGGAGGTCAAATAAAGCGAGTGGGGGTTTGACAGGCTGAGAACACACAGGAATGGGAGCTCAGGAGACCCAAAGCAAACCCTGGTGGGAGTCTGGGGGTGCAGAGTGGGGTGAGCCTGGAGGAGGGGGCAGACACAGACACCCCATCCCAGATGAGAGCCAAGTGGGGGCTCTGGACCCTTCCCTCACCCCAGAGCTGCCCTGTCCTATCGGCAGCATCAGGAATTTGAGCTATGTTGTTGCAGAGAGCTGGTGTGGCAGGAGCTGGGCAGGAATCCGGGGGCTGTGGCCTTCGAGATAAAAAACCCAGGGGAGAGGGAAGTTGTTGAGAATCACGGGCAGCTCTGATTCCTTGCAGAAGCAGCAGCTCCCTGCCCCACAGCCAAACCCTGCAAGGGCCAGGTGAGGAGCAGGGCTGGATCCCCCCTGGGCAGAACCTGCAATGGAGGAATTTCAGGAGAGGCCACGTGGCTATGGTGAGAAAGTTCAGGTACTTTTGGCATAGGCAGAAGATTTCCCTAAGGCAATTGGGTGGGGAGCAGAAACACTCCTGTGTTTTGCAGCTTTTTGCAGTGCTGAGCTGAGTATTTGGGTGTCCCAGCAAAGAGCACATTCCTGCACCCTCTCTATCACCAGCTGGTTCAGTGTGGGCACAGGGACAAGGTGCCAGC